AAAAAAAAAAAAGAATGTAATTTATTTTGTGCTTTTGATTTTTTCTAGAAATTTACTTAGACAAAAAGCACTGTTTATTTGTTTTAAAGAGATGGAGTCTTACTATATTAGTTAGGCTGGTCTCAAACTCCTGGCCTCAAGCAATCCTCCCTCCTCAGCCTCCTAAAGTGCTGGGATTACAGGCATTAGCCACTGTGCCCAGCACCTGAAAAAGCAGTATTTGGTAGAATCATGTTTTAACATAGACTCAACAGTTCCCTGCCCCTGAAGAGGAGCCACAAAGTCCTAGTCTAGCTCCTATGTCATGTTTAAAGGATGTGGGGTCCAGACAGAATCATCAATGGTCAGGGTCAGGGCTCAACCTGGGGTCCAGAGTGGTTATGTCTGGGAGGCTCAGTGGTATCGCTAGGCATGGAATTCAAGCATAACACTATTGAGAGGCCAATTGCGGGCACTAGGGAGGGAAGAGGGAGCAAGTGTTCTAAGTGCAACAGACTATGTATGTCCCTGTGCCTGAAAGAACTGGTTCCAGCCAGGTTCTGGCCCCCAAAGTTTGTAAGGTTTAGAAAGTGGCCAATATCTCTTGTGATGTCTCAGGCACAGAGATGAATGTGCAAGGAACTATGTACATCTTCTGGCCCCTGTGGGGTAGACTAAGGCTGGGTGATAGGGAAGGCAACTAGGTAAATATTGTGGGAGTGAGTGAAGGTGGGTAGTTTACCTCCTTGTATTGGATGTGGTTTCACCTATGACGGGATATGTGGGGCTGAGACCTCAATTTCCCCTTCAATCGGGAGCCCTCCAAGCTCCAGAGCATCTCCTCCTGGAAACTTTCCCTAATAACCACTCATCCTATTTTTCCACTCACAGGAAAGATGTTCTGCCTGGAGCACCACCTGTTTCCCCACTACCCCCTTCACTGCCCAGGGTGAAGCAGCATCAAATGACCCTCTCCCCAGCAGGATGGTCTTAAGCTTTCACCTCCTAGGGGCATTTCATAGAGGCAGTAGAAAACCAAAATACCCTTTTGACCTTAAAAAACAATGCCTTACACCTCTACTGAAAGTGCTCGTTTGCTGAATTGAAGACTTTAAGGAATGAAGTTATAATGGTAGAATATCAACTGAAATTCTTGTGCAGATACGTGACCCCAGGTGAGGCCCCTAGTTTGGGGAGTAGAGGCTCTGACCTCTAGCCATCCAGCCTTTGGCCCAACTCGTTCTTTCTTTTCTAGAAGTGCCATTCTGCCTTCCCCCTGCTGCTGCCATCTTGAAGCTGTGCTATGGGGGCCCAGTCTCAGTGAGTCTGGTTGTCTGCCTTTCCCCAATCCCCACCAAATCCACTTTCTGTCCCCTCCAACCCCCCATCCTGCTTGGGATTATGTAATAGGAAGTTCTCAACTAGACTCCCTTGGGAGGGAAAAGGGGCCTGAGAGGGAAAAACAGCACAAGAATACAGAGCACATGAGGCACAACCTCTTCCTGTCCTCTAGACTGAGAGCTCCCCAGAACGGGGCCTCCTCTTCTGTTTTCTCCCATACCTCCCCCCAACCCTGGAGCCATGCAACCCAGGGCTTGCCACATAAGGCAAGGGAGTATTCTACCCTTCCCTCAAGCTGCTGGAA